GTTGAAAATTTAGCAAAAGCGGGAGCAACGGCTTTAGCAAAATCATTTTTACCAGTATAAAATATATATGTTTAATATATGCTACGCTTAAAGCCAACATTTGAAGAAATTGAAAGGGAAGCAAGAACACGAAGATTAAAAATACTACCGGAGAGGGAAAGAAGAACACAACAAGGAATATTATTAATTGATGTTAATTTTGATGATTTTGATTTAGACAAATATAATAAAAAGACAATAATACTTAATGATAATCCAGATAAAGGAACACAAACAGATAGATTTAATGAAACACCAAGTATAACAGAAAGTATGAAAACACCAGAAGAAGAAGAAGTTAAACAGATACAAACAGATGAAAGCGAGGACACTATAAAAAGTAATGAGAAAGACCAAGAAGCAGACAGAGAAAAAACTAAAAACAAATCAGTAATGAGGAGAGTTTATGAAGCTATGTTTGGAGAAGATGAGTTTAAAGAAGAAAGAGAAGAAATTAGAAATAGGAGAGAGCAAATAGAAGAAGAAATAACAAGTGAACCATCTATAGAGAAACAACAAAGTGAAGATAGCGATAATAGTTTACCTATGAATGTTAAGAAATCTTATGAGCCTTCATCATCTTCTTCAAGTTCTATAAGAAGTTCAAACAGAAGTGTTTTAATGCCACATGAAGAAGAAGCATTAAGTGATTATATTAATTCTTCGCCTGTTGAAACAGTGCAAAGTTCCGTTCCTAGTGATAGAACTATTGAATATGTAGATGAAGCAACACCGCCTATTAGTGTTGTTAGTTCTCGCAGAAGTCAAGAAACAATAGAATACATTAGAAGCAGAAGTTCCAGAGGAAGCGCTAGGTCAATAAGAAGTTAAAAAAACATACTTAAAGAAAACCTAGCATTAATATATAAGATAGTTATGACATGCTTAGTAATGGGCAACGAAAATAAAATAGACATTGATGATGACTTATTTGATGTGTTATGGAACTCAATAGAAGAACCAGAAGAAGAAGAAACCAACAATGAAGAGAAAAGAAAGCGAAATAAAAAGTTGTCAAATGATAAGCATAATAAGCTTAATAAAGAACGAGGATATTTTAAAGATTATTATAAAAGCAATGACAGATGTTATGAGTGTGAAAAATGTGGAAGAATGATAAGTAGCGGAACCAATAAATCAAAGCATCAAAAGACAAAGAGATGTATAAAAAAATATGAAGATAAGTTAGAAAAAAAAAATAATGGATAAAATAGTAAACAAAGTTTTATTATGGAATTGATATTATTTAATTTCTAAATAATATTAATTGATGAGTAAAGAAGCAAAATTATCTGAGTTATATTTTGATATTGAGCGAGGCTTCGGTAGTGCTAAGAGTTTATATGATGATGCAATAAAAGCAGGTATAGTAATCACACAAGAAGAAGTTAAAGAATGGTTTAAAAATCAATCAGTAAAACAAAGAAGCGGTTATAAACAATATAATAGTTTTTCTGCTCCTTTTTCTCGTGCAATTTATTCTGTTGATTTGATGAATATGATTAGTCTAATGAAAGATACAAACACATATAAAAATGAATATCCATTATATGGTTTTGTTTGTATTGATAATTTTAGTAAAAAATGTCATGTAGTTCCAATGCAAAATAGAGACGGGCCAACTGTATTAAATGCCTTAAAGGAATGTTTTAAGGTAATGGGTTATCCTCAATCAGTTTATAGTGATGATGAAGGGGCACTTAATGATAAAATATTACAAACATATTTGAAAGATAACGGAATTATACATAATGTCACACTAACACATGCTAACGTAGCCGAGAGAATGATAAGAACATTAAAGAAGATGATAAGTGATAGATTACAAGTTCATAAACAAGGAGCCTGGACAATTATGTTAAAACCTGCATTAGATAAATATAATAAACAAATGGTTCATTCAACGACTGGTTTAGTTCCTAATGAAGCACATAAAGACGATAACCACATAACAGTAAAGTCTAACTCAGTATTGAAAGAAAAATATTTAAGAAATTATCCTAATATCAGTGAAGGCGATACTATAAAAATCTATACAAAAAGCGGTGGCAATTATACAAGTAGAAAAGAAACAAGGAGCCGGTGGAGCGAACAAACTTATAAAGTTAAAAGTGTTGAACGCGATATGCAACTTAATAAATATTATTTTCTTGAAGGATTACCTAAACGTTATTTACGACATGAATTATTGTTAATTAATAAATAAATGGTAAAAAACTACTTAAAGAAAAAACGCCCTAGAATAGTAGGGAAAATGACCATATTTGATTATAGCAAGTGCCAACAGTGTAATCATATGCGAAAACATCATAACAAGGAAACATTAAACAAAACAACCAGAAGAAATAGGAAGTATTATACAGTCATTTAATTGTTGTGATAGTTGTAATCGTCTTATCAACTTAGAAGATGATTACCCATTTGATATACATGATAAAGGTGAACTAACAAATTTTGAAAAGCAACTTTATATATTAAAAGAAATAGACAATGTTGATGTATATTTTTCTTATGATGATAGAGAAACGAAAAAACAAAAGTTAGTAAATATGTTTATGAAAAGTGATAACCCTTATAAGAAAGTAATTATATCTTTTATTAAGAACAGACGAACAAGGTTTTTTGATAAGTTTGATGTGTTACTATATTTTCTTCATAATAAGGAAACAATGAAACATGTTACTAGACGTGAAAATATTTTAATATTACATTATGACTATTACAAAAAATCATATCCGGATAAACTATTGTTTAAAAACATTATGTATGAGTTTCTTGTTAATTTTATAGGTAATGACATTAATTATTTAAATCTTGATGAATTGCAAAAACATTTAAATGAAATATTTGATAGGGAACAAGATTAAAGCCATTCATAATAATATTGGTATAAAATATTATTATAAATGCAGACAACAGCCACCACAGAAACCTAGACATAATATTATATAGAATATTATACATAATACCCCGACATAAACCGACTAAGGAAGGAAACTTATGCCTAAGCTTATGACATAAAACTAGTATAAAATATCGGGATAGGGTAATAGATACAACTTATACAAAACGTTATGATAATAAACCATCATAAAATATAAATGAGAAGAATAGTTCAAAAGACAACCCCAAAACTACATAAAGATTTTAGATAAGTGTCCAACAAAAACGATAACGAATGAGATAGACAAGTTTAAAAACAGTATAGGGGCCTATATAGGGGGTAGGGGGGTAACCCTAGAATCCCCCTTTTCATAATTTTTTGGGTGGTGGGTGGTGGGTGCTGGCTCGGTGGTGGGTGCTGGCTTGGTGGTGGTGGTGGTGGTGGTGGTGGTGGTGGTGGTGGTGGTGGTGGTGGTGGTGGTGGTGGTGGTGGGGGGGTGGTGGTGGGGTGTGGTGTGGTGGTTGGTGGCTGGTGGTGTGGTGGTGGTGGTGGTGGGGGGGGGGTGGTGATGGCAGCGATGGGGTGTGGGGGTGTGTGGTGGCTTGGTGGTTGGTGGTGGTTTGTGGTGGTGGTGGTGGTGGTGGTGGTGGTGGTCGGGGGTGGTGGTGGTGTGGTGTCTGGTGGGGGGCTGGTGGGGGGCTAGCTGGTGGGTGGTGGGGGTTGGTTGTGCCTGCTGGGATGTTGGGGTGGTGGGGCAGGGCCCGGTTGTGCCCAGCGCCAAATTTCGGCTGCTGGACGGCTGCCAGGCAAGCCGCCAGCAGCCGAAAATTCGTACAAAAAAGTACGAATTCGTACTTTTGAAATTCGTACTTTTTTGTACGAATCCTTTTTAAAAGGGGTTAGAATCTTTCGTACTTTTTTGTACGAATTTTCAAAAGTACGAATTTCGTACTTTTTTGTACGAACCTGCTTTGGTAGAGGTCCGGAAGGGAAAATCGGCGCATTGGTGGTGGGTGGTGGTGGGTGGTGGATGGCGGATGGGGGTGGTGGATGGTGGTGGTGGGTGGCGGGTAGTGGGGATGGTGGCTTGTGTGGTGGTGGGTGGTGGGGTGGTGGGTGGCGGGTGGTGGGGATGGTGGCAGGTGTGGTGGTGGGTGGTGGGCGGTGAGTGGTGAGTGCTGGTAGGGGGTTTCGGGTTTAGGGGCTTCGGGGTTTCGGGTTAAGGGGTTTATGGGTTTAGGGGACAGGGGGTCTAGGTTAAAGGTTTTTAAAGTTGTGGTCTTGGGTTCTAAGGTTAGGGGCTGAAAGGTTTAGGGGTACCGGGTTCTGGGTTTAGGGGCTGAGGTTTCTGTTTAGGATTGAGGGTTTGGGGTTTAAGTGTTATAAAGTTTTAAAACCACTAAACCCCAAACCCTTAACCCCTAAACCCTAAAGCCCAAACCATTAGACCCTAAACCATTAGCCCCCTAAACCCCTAAACCCGAAACCCCCTAAGCCACTAAACCCAAACCCTTGACCCCTTAACCCTAAAACCCGAAACATCAACCCCTAAACCATTACCCTTAAACCCGAAACCCCTAAACCCCTAAACCCGAAACCCCCTAAGCCACTAAACCCCAAACCCTTAACCCCTAAACCCCAAAGCCCGAACCATTAACCATTAAACCAATAACCCCTAAACCCCTAAACCCGAAGCCCCTAAACCCCTAAACCCGAAACCGCCTAAGCCATGCACTAAACCCCAAACCCTTAACCCCTAAACCCTAAAGCCCGAAGCATTAACCCCTAAACCTTTAAACCCGAAGCCCCTAAACCCCTAAACCCGAGACCCCCTAAGCCACTAAACCCCAAACCCTTAACCCTTAAACCTTAAAGCTAGAACCATTAACACCTAAACCATTAACCCCTAAACCCCAAGCCACCGAAACCAAGGCTCTCCCAGCTTTTTTTGCTGCCTGCGAGCAGCCGTCAGCAGGGTTCTTTGACCCTTTGCCCTGTTCGGGCTTGTGCTGCCCTGCTCGGGCTTGAGTTATTGTACCCTTTGCCCTGTTCGGGCTTGTGCTGCCCTGCTCGGGCTTCAGTTGTAGTCGGGCTCTTCTTTCACCCTCGTCTTGCCCTCTTCGGGCTTGTCGTCGTCATTGTCCTTTTGGCCCTGCTCGGGCTGTGGTTCGTTGCAAGTGTCGTCGTCGCCTTGTTCAGGCTTCTCCTCTTTTTCATCATCCTCTTCTTTTTCTTCTTTTTTTCTTCTACCTTTGCGGCTGAGCCGCTAGCTGTTGGATCTGAGCCTTGTGCAGGCTGATCTGCAAATGAGCCTTGTGCAGGCTCAGTTGAGCCTTGTGCAGGCTTGCTGGAACCCTTGGCCAAAATGCTCGCCGCTTTGCTGACGGCACCTGGCGGATCCCGGGTAGCAGCCTTTGCTGCCGCCTTGCCTTTTGCAGGCTGTGGAGGGGATTTGCCCTTGCCTTTTGCAGGCTCTGGAGGGGATTTGCCCTTGCCTTTTGCAGGCTCTGGAGGGGGCTGGCTGCCAGCTGCAGCCGAAGAACTGGAGGAAGTGCCTTCTGCAGGCTGCCCCAGGCCTAGGTCCTAGGTCCAGATAGAGCTGTTTCAGCTCTTTCTTGTTGGCCATGATAGTCTTCCACAGCTCGTCCCGCTGCATTTTCGATTTGCTCTTTTCGAGCTCTTCTTCCAGGTAGTTCAACTGGATCTGCAAGTGGCGGCGGATGTCGTTTTTTTTCTGTGACATTTCTGTCTTTCGGGGCCGGAGCTCCGGAGGCACTTCCCGGCCTTCTCGTAGCAACTTCCGTCGCTCCAGCCGCCGACACTGACTGAGTTAGCCTCTGCTGACCTTCCAGGTCGAGCTTTCCTCGTCAGTGTCGATCTCGTCGGGGTCCTTTTCGGACTTGTCCTTTTCGGACTTCATTTTTCCTTTGTAATAGAAGAACCGTTACATTCTGGCCTTCTGGTTCAGATATCTATAAACCTTCAAGTGGTAATAGAGTATTAAAATTTACTTTAAACGGTGAAGATAATAGTTGGTTAGACCCTCAAAGTGTAAGAATATTTTTCACACTTAATAATAAAGATGGAACAAATTTTAGAAAACTCCGACCTTTATCATCTCCATATTCTTTTTTCACAAGAATGAGAATTATTGCTGGTCATCAAGTTATTGAAGACTTTGACAGTTATAATCGCGTTCATCATATGTTTTCTAAATTAATGTCATCAGGAGCAAGACGAGATGAAGCTAATGAAGGCTTCGGTTATAGATATGATGATGAACTATTAACATTAGTAACAAAAGGAGGAAGTGCTTTAATTTATGAAGTTGATAGTGCTAATTGTTTAGGATTTTATGATGAAATGACTGTCGGATTTAAACCCTTATGCGGTTTATTTTCTCAGTTTAAGTATTTACCGTTAAAGTATATGGGGAATTTAACGATTGAATTAGAACTCGTGACTAATGCTGTTGATTGTATCATTAATCCTAATGACTATGACGAAAGCGACACAGGTATTAATGCTGACATTAGAAATCGTTTTACAGTTGTAGTTGCAGGTGATGTAGGAAAAGCTACAAATACTTCTATTGATTGGGAAATTTCAAACGCTCGTGTGGTTTGTGATGTTTGCACCCTTGATAATAATTTAAATAATGAATACGTCAAGCATCTTTTAGAAGGAAAAGGTCTTCCTATCACCTATACAACTTATATCACACAATCACAATCAATTAAAGGTTTAACTGATATCAGTGTCAATGTTATTCGTTCTGTGTCTAAACTTGTTGCTTCATTTGTAACTTTTTATAAATCAGGAGACCCGAGCTTCGGTTATGAATATGCTGACAAAGAATTTTGTAGATTTTATCATCCTCATCAACAACACAACCCATTAGACGAAGGCATTTACGACAAAAACAAAGATTTAGAGTTCCAAATTCAAGTGGGTTCTAAATTGTATCCCGGATATCCTTGTAATTCTATTACTCAATGTTTTTATCACTTACGGAAAGCATTAAATCTCCCATTGTTTCATCAACACAGTATGAATATTAATTTCAAACAATATCGCGACAGACAGTTTGTTTTCGCTTTTGATTTCCAAAAGGTTTCCGATTCTAGCTACACAGGCCTAAATCTACGCGCTGGGCAAATGATGCGATTAATTGTGAAACCGGCAGGTGCAACAATTCCAGCTAATGAAATGCCCGATAATATCTACATAACGATGGTTTCAGAACAGATACTAGAGATTAAGGATTTAGGTTTAAAAGTTTACGACTAATAAAACATTGTTAAATTAATTATCTAATTTAATTTAATAATGCCATTAACATTAAATAATACAAATACTTTAACAGCAGATAATATTGTAATACGTGGAACTGATTTATCGCAGATATATGCAACAAAAGCAGAATTAGGAAACAACGCACAAATAACAGCTAACACTGACGAAATAGCAGTCTTGAATACAAAAAACTTACAAAATTTTAATAATATTAATGCTATAGCTACTGATTTAACAAATAATTATCAAACTAACAGCCAGTTAAGCAGTAATTTTTACAATAAAACGGAGATAGATGCAAACTTATCTACAAATTTTTATAATAAGGGCGAGGTTGATACATTAATAGCAGGTGCAGGAGGTGGCGGAGGTGGTGGTTACACTGATACAGAAATTGATAATTTATTAGATTTACGAGTTCCTAAATCAGATTTTACTAATAGATTTTCTACATTTCCAGTTATTGATTGTAGCGCTCCTACTATCATTCATAGTGGATTAACATTAAACAACGAAACAATAAATATATCACCGACTACTGGCTTATTATTTAGTAATCAGTTTGGAGGTGGAGACAAGATAGTATCAGTATGTAAAAAGGCTACGAATTATATAACTTTACAAGGAAATAAAATTATATCAAATGCTACATCAGATGATAGTGTTGTAGATTTAGTTTTAAATCCGTCAGGAAATGTAAATATAACCAATGATTTAACTGTATCTAACTTAACAGTAGATAGTATTAATTTAACAAATAATATTAATATTGGAGGTAATATTGAATTAACTGATGCTAATACAACTGTAGAAAGATATACTGACGTTACAAAATCTAATATATCAATGGATTTAAGAACAGACCAACAAGCGATGAGGTTAATGTTAGGAACTTCAACTGACACAGATACTAATACATTTATTGAATGTAATAGTTCAACAGGAGGAACAACATTATTTAAACCAACTTATTTTAAAGATACAGTAAATTATGAAAACGACACTGCTAATATCTCTAATGCTTCAGGACTAACATTATACAAAGATACAACCGATGCTAGCGGTGTTTTAACAGTAAAAAATGCACAAGGATATATAACATTTAATTCTTTTAATATAAATGCATATAATACCAGTAACGACAGTGCTTCATTACTATTATTGAATACAGCTAACGGAAATGGATGTTATTGTTTAAGTATGGGTATTGGAGCTATTGCAGGAGGAAATAAACTAAATGTAGGCGGTGGTAATTCTAATTTCGGTGGAACAGCAACATTTCAAAATACATCAACGTTTAATAACAATGTTCATATAAATAGCAGAGGTAGATTATTTCAAAGAGCAGATGCTAATAATTCATTGAATATTATATCAACAGATGAAATCAATTTTTCATTACAACCCAGAGACGCTGACCCGACGACAGGAACAATAGCATTACAATTAAACGACACTAACGGAATAACATTAAACCGAGCAGTTACAAATAATTTAACATTTAATAGCATTGGTAATATTGTTGGTGAGTCGGATATTATAGGACAAAATGATATTATTAGTTGGGGGCGGTTTATGTTTCAAAACAGTAGCGAATTTAAGGAAGTATTAGACACTCAGTATAAGTTATTTATTAGGAATGGCGACAATGCAGGAGAAATGAATTTAACAACTGGATTAGAAGCATCAACACCAGAAATTAAATTAACAAATGCTAATGTTAATTTATTAGGACATTTAGATATTACACATCAAACAGTTTCATCGAGTGAGCGTGTAAAAATAGATAATCCAGATGCTGACGGTTTAATTTTTTTATCTATAAATGGTGCTAATATATGTGAAGTATCAAGCACAGGCTTACATGCAAATGGAACTGCTACAGAAACATCAGACGAAAGACTTAAAGAAAACATAAAGGGAATAAGTAGTAAAACATGTTATGACATTGTTAAATACATTAAACCAAAAGAATTTAATTTTAAAGGTAAGGAAGAACGCGAAATAGGATTTATAGCTCAGGATGTGCCTAATTCAAAAATGCCTAAACACTGGTCAAAAATGGTAATGAAAGATAGCGATGATGATTATTTAAGATTAAATTATATTAAAATGAATGTTGTATTATGGTCTTCAGTTCAAGAACTTATGAAAGAAGTTGATGATTTAAAGAAAGAAATAAAAAAGCTGAAAAAAGATAATGATGACTCACCTAAACCAAAAGCAAAAGCTAAACCAAAAGCAAAAAGTAAAAACTAATTAAATCAATAACTAATTTAGCATCAAATCGTTTATAAAACATATCATTAACATCACCTTTCATTAAATTAATAAATAAAAAGCTGTATGGTTCTTCAGTGGCTATGTTATATACTTCTAATAATAATTTCTTTGCTTCTGCAAGGTTTTTAGTATCTGCTACACTTGATTTTTTAATCAATACCGCACTTAATTCTTCAACCATTGTTTCTATTTCCTTGTAATTCCTTAATCTAAAAAAGAATAACTGGCGACTATTTACACGAATAATTGGAGATAAAGCATTAAACTTTTGTGTTGATGTTATAATATTTATTGCATTATGTCTACCTCTGACATACAACTGATTTAATAAGGGTGGGTTTCTTGAAAAAGCTTTACTGTCTGCAAAATCATCAACAATTATCAGTATTGAATGCAATTTATTATGGTCATTCTTTTTCTGATATTCTATTACCTTGTGTTGTCTACTTATTACAACTTCTAGTTCTTCTGGTATGTAATCATCAAATAAACATTTCTCCTTTTCTAAATCAACCTTTAAATTATCTTGAATATAATTTTTAACTGGTGACCAATTACTGTCAACTGAAATTGAAGGTGACCAAATGTATATTCTAGCAAAAACATCACGGTAAATATCTAATATCATTGACTGTAATAATATACCTTTTCCTGAACCACTCGGACCTACAATTATTTGACTAAAGGTAGTCTCGGTGCTACTTCATATTTAGATTGTTTGAATTCATATTCTTTAACATTAATAGGCTTTACTAATGGAGTATTCATTAATAATATTTAGAAATTAATTTCTATTTAATTATTGATAATATTACGAGTAATATTATCCATAAAATCCCCTTACTGCGTCCCCTAATAATTCTAAATTGTTGTAAAAACTTACAAATACCATAAGCGTAGAACAGAGTAAGACATTACAACACGAATTAAAGAATTCGTTTGTTATGGAGAAGAGAACCCCTATAGTAGCAAGTTTTAAAAAAAAACATATTATTAATATTTATTTCTAAATGTTAATAATATGCCTGACGTTGTTATACAAAAATCTAGTTCTAAAGGTAAAAAAATATGATGCGGTTATAACAGATGAAGAAGGAAATACTAAAACAATATCATTTGGAAATGAAGGCTATAGTGATTTTACAAAACATAAGGATGAAGAAAGAAAAGAAAGATATATAGCAAGACATAAAGTTAAACAAGACTGGAAAGGTTACGAGACTGCTGGAATGTGGGCAAAAAATATATTATGGAATAAACCAACGA